TGAAAGTGGGTAATTTAACATCTACCGAGGCGAAAGGGGAAAGGAAAGTTGTTTAATCAGTTGCATTGTTTAGTTTTTTTTGTCTGTCGTGTAAATCATTTGTAGTGCTATTTATGGCGCAAAAGGTAAACGAGAAATCGGTGGTCAAATGAGGAATTGCGGAGCAGGAAATGCGTGATAGCATCAGTTGTATTGTTCTGTTATTGTTGAGGTGAGTAATGAAGTTTAACAATGTTCCGCTTATCAAGAATGACTTAATTTACCCAATGGTTTTACATCCACCTAAACGTCGTCTCATCGTTGCCTCGATGACGTGGGAATGCGAATCATGACAGCGATTTTCATAATGCTGACAGACAGTGAGTGTGACTTTAAAATCTTTGACAATTATTAGCACTTGTAGCATCCTAAGACTTCTCTACAGACAGTGAAAGGCATGATGTCTGAGAATTGTAGCCCTTCAAAGGGACGAATGGACTTGTGACCGCAGGACAGCGCTTCTTTGGCGAAGTCACCAAGTGGCCTCTCTCAGTAGCCTGGAAATTCAACAACCACCTAATAAATTTCACCGTTAGGAGGAAAACGCTCTCTCCCTGTGATGATTATCTCAATTTGATGTATTTGTTGTTATTGAATTCTGTCAAAGGACCACCTGATAAGGAGGAGTCGTATGTTCCAAGTCATTAATGCCATAAGGTTAGAAGTAGACAACCAAAACCTGTGTTCGCTTAGCAGAAATGAGAATCAGCGTGTTTGTGAGGGTAAAATTCGCTCCTATCACGTGTCTCCAAAGGTAGGTCCAGCGTTAACCATCGAGACTTGTTTAGCACATACCAACGCGGCTCTCAAGACACAACAACCCGTTTACTGTCAGAGGAGGCTGGTGAATGTCAATGACACGGAGGCAGTGGCAGAATTTAAGACGTCTAGAAGCCTCTAAAAGTGAATGCTACAACAAGTAAGTATCTTATTACATTACGGCGTCTACTAACAATTTCATCCTTTACAAACGGAGCAAGTGATGAATTAATTTTGATAATTCCCTTACGCCCAGCTTGAAGACGGCAGCCCTCAATTAACCCTTGGCAAGTTGCCACTCACCACAGTTATTGTGTCCAAAAGACGTTCCTCCTTACAGGATTTGTTAAGTAGCATGCAAATCGCCAATTTTCGAATGCTTTTATCCACTTCAAGACGGAATAAAATCAAGTTGACAGGACGCATTTAATCATTCCCTCCTTTTTTCAAGCCGCCCATCTGAGTAAGATTTAAGCAGACAGTGATATTAAAGGAAAAAAGGATGACAAAAAAAGGAATAGAGAGGGATGAGGAGTTTGATCTGGCAACAACCTCCATTTGGCGTAATGGCTGTTTGATGGAGGCTTACTAGTGGCATGCAACGACGCGACCTTATCTGAGCTGAGGCATCGCAATTTTGCGTTTGCGATGAGCACACCACTCCATTGCCTCGTTCTCATTTATTTGCCCACAAGAAGGATATTTTTTTGCACCAACAAACAAACTCATATCTGCTGACTTATGGAAGTGTGAGTTTGGAAATACTTCAAGCAAACAGGACATTTGAGTTGCAAATTTATCAATAATGAAAACTCTATTTAGTCTTCAAGCTAAAACAAGCCCATCGCCCTAAGCATTACTTTTGATTAAGGTAGTTAACCCAAACCTTATTAACTTCTGTTGTGGCCTTTTTCTTATTTTCTATTCCGTAAGCTGACAGCATGACGCTGTGAAGAAACAACCAAGCTTGCAGCATTTGTACCGCCAAGAAGGACTGCGGTGGATCCTTCTCGTTTTAGTTACCTTAGATCGGATGCTCCTTTCCTAGGCAGATAACTAAAAGGTGCCACATTGGCGAGTGATGGGTAAAATAATGTCGGCTTCCCAACTCCCAAATTTCCTGCTACCAAACAGCAAAAGGAGCACAGCTGCACTTCGACTGACTACGGAAACACAAAAAACTTACACAAAAATACTTTACTAATAAATTTAAAGTAGCATTGTTAACTTGATACAATTTTATGGTGACATAGAATTAATTACTGAATAAATAGAAAAGTAGATGTGAGGGACAGCAGTAACAATACCGAATGGAGACTGAAATCAGTGCAGGAGGACATTCAGACCTGCTAGTTTCTTCTTGACTGCATAGGCAATCAGCTCTCCTAACAACTACATCCATTTTGCCCTTCCTTGTCCCTTGAGGAAATAAGTCGGGGAATGCAAACTTTGCCTTTCACAAAATCAGGTTCCAAAGACAATGGAAGCTTTTTTTGCAAAATCGAATGTAAATACACCCCAAAACTTGATCTTTAAGGATTTCTCCTTTGTTTAATCACTCCCAGAAAGTAAATCTCACAGTGGTACCTTAAAAAACCATTCGCATTATGGGGTGAGTGTTCAAGGTTGAGGGCCGAGAAGTCAGTTCATCTCTACGATTCATTCAATCATAAAGAGTCATTGCCCTCAGTGATGCCGACAGCCTTATATTATTTCCTGTTGTACACAGCACTGTAACCAATCTTCAAAGCAAGTTTAGAAGTCACAATCATAGTCAAAATTCGGCAATTAAAATGAAGTCTTTGGTTTGGATTCAAGAATCTCACTACACCTTCGTGGATGTGTCTCAATAAGATCTGAGTACCATCGATGCGCAAAGGTATAAATGGTTATGAGCGGGTGGGTACGAGAAGGAGTGAACAAGGAACTAAACAAATAATGGATGCGTTGTTGAGGCAGCAATATGTAATTTCTCTCTCTTGGCTGTGCTCTTTGCCAAAGGTTTAAAATAAACTAGCGCACCTGATCACATCATATTTTTGCATCCCTCGGCCGAGTAGATAAGGTACTAGGAAGAGAAAAATCCCCCAATTGTAGTATTCGCGCCATGAAGGCCCGAAAGCGAGTCCGTCTCTTTTTCCCAATTTTTGATGGCTTTGACTACCACTGACGAGATTCTGGCGCCCTTCCCTATCCATTGCTTGTTCACAAAGGGAAGTGCCCATCTACACCCATCGAGAAGTCCTCGTTTAGCGAGGTTTGGTGACGGAGCTTGGACGCGGTAACCAGCTCAACTGCCGTTATCGTTCCAAAAGCAATGCCATTGCAGTGCAACCAGCCCTGGAGATACATATTTACGACATAGAAAAGTCGAATTTGGATGTTCAATCAACACAACCCCCAACCCTCTAAGTGAAATTGTGAAAGAGCAAATCGGGTCCTTCCAGCAATACGATGAACATGTGACATCCAGATACGATCCGTCCGTCCAATGCGGAAACAATTTCTTTTGTGGTTTCAATGAGGTAGTTGCAGAATAAAGCATCATTAACACGACAATGGATTGTACTTGAAAAAATTCTTAAACATACTGCATGCAATCTTTTGGTATCAAAAAAAGTAAATTGAAAAGTGAGCAACTCGCCAACATATGGAGTCCAAGACGACAAATACACACACACCTGCCTATTTTCAGTTACTTTTAATACGAAATAGTTGGGCAGTGAATTAAAAGGCGCAAGGGACGGTCTCGCAGAATAAGACTGCATGCATCAACCGGTATACGGTAATCAGAGATTGTAGAGGGAGACAACAGAGCGGGGGTGATGACACCTCCTCCTCCCCACTATCGTAGGCACTTGTTGGAACGCTGAAAAGTGGTTTCAGACATAGCATTGCGGTGGCTGTCTCATCAGTGACAGTGGAGGTAGAGGGCAAGGAGGACGAACAACGCAGTTCGAGAAAGAGGTGTGCGTTGACAGAAGCGTTGGTGACGCGATCCACCAAGTGGACCGTACGAATTCGACACGTTGGAATAAGAGGACTACGCCGCCAGCGGCCTGAGAGGTAACGACAGGAGCATTGGACTCCCAGTGGGCGACTCATAAGGACGGTGACTAACATAGATAAAAAGTGGTTTAAATATCTCCAAATACGCAACAAGGTTTGCAAATAGCAACCGATGCACTCATGGAGAATAACGTCCTTACTAGAGTCGAGACGTACACGCCTGTCTTTATTTCATATCAAACATTCTTTGTCGTAAATAGGCAACTATAAACGCGAATAATGGTAGGCGCTCATAATCTAGATACTATACTATCTAATGTTTGTGCTTTAAAAGCATTAAATAAACGAAACAATAGCCCTAGCAACCAAAAGGAATAGAATAAGAGTTACTTGACTCCATTAAAAGCATAAAAATAAGCCTTTCATAGTAAAGGCCTGAATGAGAGGGAGGTCAGAACAAATTTTTAAAAAATTACCATAAAAGTGAAATGAGAACCAACCTTCGCAAACGCTAGTATGGAGCCAGCCCAGGACAATGAAAAGAGAGATAAAGAAGTGGCAGAAGGAAATCAGACTCTAAAAACCAGAAATGGCTTTTGTTGATCCTAATGGAATGAATTAACTAACATTCAAGCGCCAAAAGAAAATGATTCCTCCAAAAGTATGGCCGATAACGAGGTACACAAGGAGCGATACGAAAGGCGGCTTCATTTTAACCTTGATTTCGGCCCACGCGGGCACAGCATCACCTGACATCAAAGTGGTCTGTGGTAAGAGTTCGGTGAACTTGTACTGTAAGTACGGAGCGCATACATACATGTCGCAACCGCAGTCGTTTGTAGTAGCGACGCTCCATGTTCTATTAAAATGAAGACTAAATTTAAATCAGAATCAATCGACATAAAGAAGAAATGAAAAACAACTTAGTGTTGCAGAGATATCGAACACGACAATATAGCCGCCGCAGAAGGCGAAATGAGTTAACCAATACCGAAACCGTGTGAACACAACAAGAAGCAAGTGAGCATTAACTAACGAATTAAAACTCATGGAAATTCCGGTCCAGACGAGTGCACTACGGATGACGCACACGATACAGGTGCGAATGGATTTATTTCCAATTGGTCAATAGCTTCAAGGACGAGTTAACGTGAAAACTATTCA